CATCCTCGTTTGTGAGTTGCTTCCTTTCCTATTTGGTGGTCCAACTGTTAAGAGTGTATTTCCTTCTCCAAAATTGCTAATTAAGACATGCTGCTTAGTAACTGTGTCTTCTTAACTGAAATTTGAGTCATTTTATTTCATGTGGTTTGTAGACACCCTACCAAAATCATGGCTTAATGGAATTAAAATCCCTTAGTAGTGTCTGTCAGCGACCTAGCACCGAAACACTTCCTTTATCTGGGTTTGGGGATTTGTGAGTTGGGGAAGCCATCTTTCTCCATGTAGCCCATTGTTGCCTTTGGGGAGCAAACAAGCTGTGATTATTGAACGATTAACTTGCATTTATGCTAGACAAATCTGTAATGCAACCTGTAAAAATTGCACTTGGTACTAGTCATATATTTAATGCAATCTTCATCTGTATGCAGATTTCACAGTCTATCACACTGCTTTTGACTCTTATAACTGGATGACAAATTTTGGAGATCCATTGTTTCAGCGTCATGTGGCTGGTAAGCTTCTTATTTCCTTGAGACATGCTTTTGTATTAATTTGTGATCGATACATTTCTAATGCACAACCATATTGTCGGTTGTTGAAGATGACATGGCTTTTATTGTTTATGTCATCTCAGTCACTGGAGTCTGGGGACTTCTTGCACTTCACCTGGCTGATGATCCAATTCTACCGTTTAACTACCTCTGTTATGCAGCTGAGTTGCAGGTATCAGTTTTTCTTTAGATTATTTTGAGTCCATTTCTTCGAGTTCCTTTATTCTAAATACTGTAGTTTCTAAAAGCATGCTGGTCTCAGCTTGACCTGTTAAAATTGGGTTGAAATCTATTTTTTTTATTGCTAGCACACCTGAGCTTTCACAATTTATCCCAATTAATGTTCATTTGTGATGGTATTTGAGGTTTGGCGCCATTCAACCACAATATCCCAGGATACTTGCTCTTATTAATTGTTCCCAGTGTTGGACTTCGAATGACAATTATTTCATGCTGGTGTCTTGTTATTTACTCTAGTTGAAATATAAATACTTAAGTTACATTCTCTTCAACATTTTAAGTTTTAGAGTAGATTGTTGTTTAACTTGCTATCAGAGTAGGAGGTCCTGTTTTTAAATCTCGCCACCACCTTAATTATTAAAAGAGTTTTCACATGCTAGACCCAAAATCGAGGCAACATATGATGGGGCGTCTTGAAGTATAAATACCTAAGTTACACCTTTTTTGACTGCCTAAGCTTTTGGAGCAGATGATTATTTGACAACTCTCATAATGAAAGAAATAGATACACAATAAAGAGAGAGAGCATTGATGTTTGATGAAATTAAAGATAGTGTTACAACCACCATAACACATTTTTAACCAACCACATTATACACAATTTTCACAATGAATCTTTCCTTTCGTGGGACTAAATCTCCGTAGATTTTTCTTTTTCTTTTTTCCTCTTTTCCTTTTTTGGTGAGATTTTAAATTTTGTGGCAGGAGTATACAAATATCTTGAGCAACTTGTTGGAAGGAAATGTCTCTTTGGATCCTATAATTGCTGCCATTCAAGAGCTCACAGCTGCAGCTAAAAAAGTTGAGGAGGAAGCAAAGGTTAGATAGAAGTTCTGAGATATTCTTCTTGTCTCTCTCTTTTTTATCCTGTTTTAATTATGTGGTTTAAGCCGGTGATTTTTTCCTCGTGGCTTAATAACCTACAATTGCAGGTGAATCAACGATGAGAGCTTTAAAGTCAAAATTTTCTAGAAACTAGCAGTCAAAATAACTTTTGTGGCCTTGTACATTTTGTATCTATTCTCTTTTTTTTCCTTTAAAATAAACAACTTGTTTCTCTTTTGTCTCTTTTTATGCATTAAATATATCTATTCAATTAGTTGAATCATTTAGGAAGAAAAAAAGACTGTAAGATTAAAAATAGATCCCTCATCTTTATTTTCCAATTATTAATCACGTTAGTTGGTGGTGCACTTTGGTTCTAAACTTTAAGAGGGGTGTAGTGTAGTGTTATAAAAATGAGAATAAAACGTCGCTGGCTTAAACATAATGGGGTGAAAGTAATTTATCCTTTAATTAACTTCCTGTGCCTTTACTATCCTTTTAGTCCTCACCATCTCAATTGTACTTATCAATATTACTTTGTACCGCAGAGATTGAGAGAGCAAGAAACTGTGGGAGAACTTTTGTTGTTGAAGCGGCGGATATTGAATGATAAGCTGATGTTTGCTGAGAAAGGCTTCTTGGATTCTGAGGGGCTTGAAGGGAAGGAATGGTTCAAGCATCTCGTAAGAGTTTTTCTTTCAAATACAACAATTTCAGCAGAATACATATGATGACCATCACACTCCATTCCATTTGTAACATCTTTGGGGAAAGTATTGTTTCATTTGAGTGTCTGTTTTTAGCTAACAGTCAACTTGTCTTAGGACATCTCCAACATTGACTCAAATTTGAGTCAACATTCAGCTGGCCAGATTTTAGAATTGGAGTGATTTGGAGGTTGAAACGGAACTTTGTCCAAGTTCTCTCAGGCCAGGGGCTAAAATGGACTTCTTGAGATGGCCCTTAACTTTAGCCCCAACCTCGCACCTGCCCCAGACAATGGTTGAACCTTGAACGATTACCTAGACATGTGTGAAGTTGCAACTTCAGGCTTCTGCATTCTCATCTTCATTGAAAACTAGCACATGTCATTGGAAAAAATCATTCTGGCAGCCATTGTAGTTTTTGCAAGTTTCACTCATTATGTAATGGCATTTGAATGCAGGTTTATGGGCCTCATAGTGGCAGTGAAAGCAAACTGGCTTTCTTCCCTGGGGTAGTTGATCATATCTTCCCATCCATAAGAATGAACAAGATCAAACAGCAGGCAGCAATTCAGCATGAGATCTGGAGGGTTGCCAGGGCCATTCAAAGGGTTGCCTATACTCTCAAAGGTGAACTCACCTGAAATTATCATCAGAGAGCTTTCACATATACTGTGTGTATGAGAGAGAGAGAGAGTAAACATGTGTAAATTATGTATATATGACTTTGTTTTTTCTTTCATAGCCTTTTGTCGCCTCGCCTTTTTTCGAGATATATAGAAATCCTTCTTCTGGGAAAAAAATTGGTCTCTGAAATTTGATGCTTTTAATTTTTTTTTCCGGATCCGAATTTGTATATCCAAGTCATAAACATCAACAGAAATGCAGGCAAAACTGACCAAATTTGCAGCCTAAATGTTATGGTAAACCAAGACAATCAGTTTGGTGTTTTTGGGCCCTTTTACTTGTTGAGGGGAGAGACTACCACATCATTTGTGCCAGTTTTTTGTCCCAAATTTGGTCACAGTATCATTGTTGTTGCATAAAACTCAAGAAATGTCTACGGTACTCAAAAAAAAAAAAAAATAGTATTGTACTGATACTTATAACGTTGTGAGTGTTTTTATCATTGTGGTGGTACTGAAAAAATGTGATAAAAATAGTTACAAAAGTGGTAAATAACCCACAAATGTAATAAATTTTTTAGTTATAAAATGATCCACATGAGTTGTAAAAGTATTCATTGAAATAGTCAATTTTAGAGGTATGGTACCAATTGTTTTTTTGGGTACTATAGTCAAGTCCTAATACTCATAATCTGAATCTCAAAAGACACAAAAAACTTAAAAACAAAAAATCAGCTCTTCTAATTGTCATGAAACCCATGGTTTTTATTTCATGGATTTAATTAGGGAAACTGTCATGGAAAACAAGGAAATTAAATATACCTTGTTTCAATCACAAGTATATTTTCAACTGGAGTTTAAATAATAATAGTATAGAAATTAGAATATGGCCAATTGTACAACATGTTAATATTGAAATCAAGGTTTAAAATTTAAAAATTTCATGCTTTGCCATGAAATTGAGGATGAACTCCACCAGGTTAAGCACTTTGAATAAAACTTGATTGCATTTAAGCAATTCATTGATCCAGTGATTATCTTGATCCATATTGGACTTGACCCAACCAAATTGACCTTTAAAACAATGAATTTATCTAAGTGATTACGAAATTCATTTTTAATAATTCTTTCCATTTTATTGGGATTGATAGTGCACACCAGCATATATCGAACCTACAATCAATCCAATAATTATAATAGATTAGGTTAATAAATTAAGTACAAATAACACTATTTTTTATTTTTTTTAAGCTTAAAATAAATATGTAAATAGACCACTCTACATAACATTGCCCCTCATCTATATGCAAGAGACCCTCATTGAGGTGGAAGCTAAGGTTTCACTGAAGAGTAAGTTTAGCTCCATTGAGTTGTCATAGTTGTAGAGACTTAAACTCAAATATTGGGTGAATAAATAACATTATGAGCAATGCTATAGGGACTTTATTTACAGACCTTATTTAGAGATCGAATGATGTGCCTTCAATGCAACAAATAGATTAGTTCTGAGTTCCAATGTTAGTGGAGTTCATAATCAATCCAATAGTTATACATCATTAGGCCCTTAAATAAAATTCGAAAAATATTTCCCTAACATTATTGTTTCAAAAAATCCAAACCCCCCCCCCCCCCCCCCCCCCCCCCACCCAGGACATGTTTGGATTTTTTGTTTGTATTAGAATTATCAAACCTATCTAAATCCAATCTTCACCTTTTTGTACATAAAGACTCATACATGAATCTTATTTCCACTTATATACACATGTGAGACCAATAAATTTATTACCATACATTTGTTATTTAAATGACTATATTGGGTCAAGATTGATTGGATTTGGGTAGATAGTAAATTAAATTAAAGGGTACAAATGTATTTTATCAAGTGTATCCAGTTTGGCCTCTTCGAAACCCACCCCGTGGGTTTGCTAAACCCATGTTTGTTTATGAGTTTAAGCATTCAGGCTAAGTACAGATCGGAATTGAATCATTTTCTCTAAACCCATCGTACCAAATCCCCATAACCCATCTTTGCCATTATAGTTTGTGCCCATATTTTCAAACTTCAGAAAGGCGCTTAAACCGGCCTCTCTATTCAGAAGTCTTAGTTCCACAGAGAGAGAGAGAGAGAGAGAGGGACAGATGGACGACTCAATTGGGAAATTCTGCAAAACCCTAGCGAGTTTCTGCAATCACCTACAAAGCAGCTGTGACGCCCTCAAACAGTCCGTTGAACGCCGTCCTATCCCTCTTGGTAAATTACCCATTTTCTTTTCTTTTCTTTTCGCATAAATTTTCTTGGCTGTCAAACATCCCCATTACTCATTCCTTTTTTTCTTTATAAAATTATGGTTTAGACTCTGCTTCGTCGACGTTCGTTCAATGCCTGAACCGTAAAGTCTCATCAACCAACAGTGACCTAAACTTGCTGGAATCGATGTCGTTCGGAACGGTGTCGTTCGAGGAGTTATTGGGTCACTGCAATGAGGTTTACAAGAAGAACCAGAGTGATATTGTGGAATTGGGGGACCGTCTCAAGGGCTTCGGATACAATCCCGGTACACCGTTTCACCCAAAAAAAGACAAACCCAACTGGGGTTTTCGGCTTTTTTTCCCCCAATTTATTTAATTTTCTTCTTCATTTTTTTTTTTGCAGAAGGATTTGAGATTGATGAAGAAGAAGAGTTTAATGATAATTCATCTCCTCCTCGTGGGATGGACTTGAAGAAAACAGAAGAGGACCCTTTGTATCCTTTTTCTCGGTATGTAGTTTTGATTTGCGTGCTTGGTAGCTGAGAAAACTGAATGCAGTTGCCACAACTATTCTGCTAAGTTGGGGGTGAAATTTTAAATTTTAGAGGGGTGGTTATTTAATATTAGGGCTGTCAATCCCAATAGCGAATTCGAGCTGTGTCTTAATGGGTTCGTATTAAAAGATATTTCATTTATATTCGATTCGTTTATTAATTTGTGTCTAATGAATTGTGTCATATTGGATTCAATCATATATAAATTGTGTATAACCAGTATATAAACGAGTCGTGTCATTTATTTTTTCTGATTGACTTTACTCATATTCGATTTGTTTATTAATCATATCATATTAGGTCCATTCGTTTATGAAACGAGTGGTTTAAATAAGATTCAAACTCTCTAATTTCATATCGCGTTGATAAGTCGTACTATATTTTGACACCTCAAATTAATTTCCTTATATAATACAATTCTTCTTTTATCAAACAAGAAAAGGGTTGCTATTAATACTTCAATGGGGCATATAGTATCTTATAAACAGATTTTTCGCAATGTTGTACATAAGTTGAATTAAAGCAATATTTAAGCTTGACGGAAATTTGCCAGTATTTTTCCTAATGTTTTGAGTCAATTAAATGAAAGATTGTCCAGCCAATAAGATATATAGGAAGATTATTTTTGTTTATTATGAGCTAATTCTATGAAAATGTTTGATGGATATGGGATCTCTTGTTATTCCTATTATATGCTCAAAGATTTGAGGATTCACCGAGTTTGAAGGATCTTGGACTTTCTGATGTTTGTCTTGCCACAATAGCATCTGAAGGTCAGTTGATGAAATTAGCTATAGCCAGATTTGTTGCTTTATGGACTTCCTAACATAGATTGTCGAGGAACTTTTTAGCATGCTTTAATAGTTTCAGAATGTTCAGTGATTTGCACAACATGAATGGTAAATGTATGGGTGTTAATTGAGTTGAGCTTTGCGAGCTTGTTTTTCTAAATGAACATAAATTTTTTTTCAAGTTCGGCTTGTTTAAAATTCGAGCCGAGTTCGAGTAATTCGACTATTTTATATACAAACAAAGTCGAACCTTTTAAGTTCGTTTTTTTAAATGAGCCTAAAAATTGTTCAAATTCAGCTCGTTTAGAGCATGAGCCGAGTTTTATTCGAATCGAATCCGAGTAGCTTGTCTTGATTAATACTCTTATGTAAATGTAGACAGTTCCATTACACTGTGGGGGTGGCCATCAGCCTACCAATTCTTTCAGCAGCTTCAATTGCAATATGAATTTTGCCCTTAGGATGCAGTATATACTATATACTCAGATTCAGCCTATCATCTCATGGCTGTAGCCTTATAACGTTCATATGTATCAGCATTATATTCTGTGTTTGCGACTCCTACCACATTAGACAATTAAATGAGACGAGTGACCAACGTGTGCATTTGTCCCAATTTCTATCTTAATACTATCTCCCCCCCCCCCCCCTCTTTTCTCTGCAGCTAACAATAAGATTCAGATGGAGGAACTGTATCAACCTGCTTCAGAGTTCTTGGAAGTGAGTGAAGGTATGGAGTTCCCTGCTTGTGATTATTTCAATTTGTCCTCGTCACTCCTGTAACCCTGTCAAAAAAAATTTCTTTTCCACTCTGTTTAACAGATGCATGGTTATATTTGGTAGGGGACATGGGATATAAGTCAATTGAAGACCCCGAATCCATAATAACTGTATCAAAAGATGTTTATGAAAGTCTTCCTTCGTATATGAAGAGTTTAGCATCATGGGAGGTAACAAGTTCTACATCCTGCATCTTTTTTTTTTTTTTTTTACCCCAACTCCACCACTAAAATACAAATTCCTTCTCTAACATTCAGTCTCCAATACCAACACTGTGCCTCTAAAAATTTTTGATTTTGTTTACACAAAAATGAGCAGGCATGCTATTATGATGTTCTAGTTGGGCAATTTCTATGATGACTAAGCAAGTCGATTTTGTTCAATGAAAACTTTACTGTCCTTTTCCTGTTAGATACAAAATTTGAAGCATGATTGTGCAGGATTTGCTTGCTGTTGTCGACAAGATGAACTCAAGCCTAAGTAAAAAAGGAAAAACAAAGGGAGGCAAGTTCTTCCACCAAGATGAGATTGCTTCACTGGATTTAGGTATGTATCATCTGAGCGTTTCTTAATCTTAATCTATTTTTTCCCATAAGACGCGCACGCATTGAAATGAAACCATGAATACTCTGCCTCCATAGATGCCTGTCTTTGAGTTACAAATATACCAAAAACTAATGTATGACAACCCAAAATCCCCTTGACAAGAAATGGGGATAATTGTATGCCGTGAGTTAGCATTTGTTACATAGGCCAGAGACCTTCAACATGGAAGGTCGTAACCTAACACACAAGGTACACCTCAATGGATCTGGACTCTGGCTAAGAAGCAATAATACAGGGTCTCTTTAAAAGTTATGTCTACCTGTGGACAATGCGACAGTTAATCTGCCGGTCAACTGTCATGCAGGTTGTACTTAAAAAGTTTCACAATTGCTATGAATTGAGCGCCTTGTATATCAAAGTACTAACAATGAAGTTAAATTTATGTGTTCAAGTGAAAGTACTTCAAAGATATATGTGATAGTTACCAGGGATGTCAATAATAGCATCAACTAACTTTAGGTTTGAGTGGAAGTAACCAATCGACAACTTCCCATGACATTCAAGTAATCGCCCAGCATTCCATTCATTGATCAATAAGTGCTTGAAAGCCCCATTTGATAGTCAAATCTCTTCCTTCTTTCCTGTTTAGCTTTAAGCAGTGGTGAAATAAAATTTTGAGCTTACAAGTAGGATATGAAATAGAAAGTTTAGAAGTAGTTTAAAAACATAAAGTAGAAAGCCTGCTTATTTAGGTTGTTGAGATTGAAGGAGGAAGGAAGGTTTCATCTACGAGCCACTTGCACTGAATCGACTGACTACCAACTTGACTTGTCTACTGACCGAGACATGACTGAAGCTAGACATAGGCTCTAAAGCACTCTCTCCCCAACCCTCTTTCAAAAACTTTTATAGGTCTGAAGAACACTTAAAAGATTCCGAAGGACTAAATTTGCAAGCGGTAGTTAATGAGAAGGAACCACAAAAGGGGGGAAAACTAATGAAACTATTCCACCTTACCAGAAGTAGTCTTGTGTTCTGCCCCCAAAATTATCTGAGGTAGCTTCATCTTCTGCAGTAGTATCCATCATAGTGCAGTTCAAATCTAAGTCGCTTTGGTGCTTGCTGTTTTGTTCTGTTGTTGCAGGGCCAAAAGGGAGATCTTATTTGCTGCTGCTTTTACGTATGAATAGGTTAGTTGTTGAGACCATTGATGGTGTAATATCCTACAGAGTATTATCCGCAACATGAACATGAAGCCCAATCGATGTGGCTGGCTCCTTCATATACCTTTAATGTGAGAAGTTTCCAAAATTTCAGTTTTAACACCTAATATACTTAAGCCTTGTGGGTCAATCCAATCTGCAAAAATGCACAAGTCTCTCTTTGTTTCTTTCCTTTCCCTTTACCTTCCTGAAAAATAAAAATTGTAACAATTTCGGTACAATATTTGGCTCGTATCGTAGCACTTAAAACCTGCTCCACGAGTTCAGAAGCTGATTAATTTTGCTGCAGCCATAGTGGAAGTTGTTTCTTCATATTGTTTCATGCCGTATAATATTTTCCACTACACATTGCCTAGAACTGAATGGTGATTACAAACTTGATTCAAATACATAACTTGATGTTTTTCTTCTTTATAATAACTCATTCTTTAGAGGATTTGGCTAATAATTTCCAAGTGAATATGCTGCGCCTAAAATCATCCCAAGCCATGCTACAAATAATAACTAAGCTTATTTCTTTGGAAAGCTCTTACTAAGATGAGAAATTCCCTGATGAAGTTGCTAGTACCAGGTGAACTTGTTTTGGCCGAAGTGGAAGAGAAGAGAAATCCACTGTGGAAGAAAGAAATTTGCTTCCCCAAAAAATTGCTGATAGAGGTTATAATTAATTGACTAGGGTGTTTATTATCAGCTATCAGCCTTCTTTTTCCAGGGAGGAATTGATGTGACTAATCGTTCCCGAAAACCGACCGACATTGTCGAGGGTAGAGTTTTAGTTTCACTCATCGTTTTGAGAGGCAAACTCATGGGTTGCTATCACTTGAATTAAAAATCCAGAATTTTAATGAGACGTCTGAAGCATATTAGGTTACACGTCCCGATGCGACACAAAACCAATTGACATGGATGAGATCAGTCCATTCAGCTTCTCATCTGGTCATGTTTTTTGATGCCTAACAATTTGAATGATCCCATCAACATTAGATGTAGGAAAAGATGGACTTCAATGTAGCCATTACGGGCATGGCAGCTATATACTAAGAAACAACGTTGAAGATGCCTAAGATTTCAATCAATCAATGAGAACAGATGACAATTATTCCAGAGGCAGCATAGACTATAACAGAAACGAGCAACGCAGCAGTACCCATCCTGCTGACTAACAGAGACCAGCATAAGAACTTGGTAGGTGCTAAATAACACCCCCCCCCCCAAAAAAAAAAAAAAAACCCAATCTATAAAGCTTAGCGAGTGCTGTTTTCTGTTTCCTAACCTAATGACACAAAAAAAAAACCCAAAAACAAAATAGACATGCACAAATAGTTGCCGAGCAAGTATGATCCAATTTCCGGTAACTAAATGCTCAGGATACATCCAACTTGCTTCATCAACTGGCCACAAAGGACCGGGTTATTCTCAGTACATGCAGGCACAGATGCCAAACCTCAAGGAAACTGCTCTAGTTTTTAAGCTGTCAAACTAATTTCTCCGAAGCATGGCTTACTCAAATATACATTAGCAAATGTGCAGTAGAAGAAAGGGGCGCTGCCCATGGTGGGGTTGTTTTGGGTGCGTGGCCGGAATTGGGAGGGAGGGGGGGGGGGGGGAATAGAGAGCTCAAAATTGAACAGAAGGGGGGCGAACAATTAACTCTTCCTACCATAAAAATAAAACAGAGACGAGCACTATACCATAGATCTCGACTGGAGACCACTATATTTGTTTCTTTTACAACCCCTCTTCATAACATATACCACAACCAAAAGTGGAGATAGGAAAGAGAGAGAAGGACAAGGAAAAAAAAAGAATGTGAAACAGTGGAAGGACCCCAACTATACCCAGTTTACAACCCCTATTACCAAAACCTTCATATATACTGCTACCTTACACGAACCAGCACCTTAAAGCAAGAGAACCTTGATAGGAATGGAAAGAGAGTGAGTGGGCTGGTATCAACAATGAAAGCAGGATACATTGGGGAGAAAACCTCCCTCACCCCACCCAAGTCAAAAAAGAATCATAGCCAACAAAACCAGCAACCACATACATTTAAATATAAAGAGAGACCGTCATGTTAACCTCTTTTTCAGCCTACCAATCTCTTGTTCATTCTCCATCTGAATTTTCAAATTTCCCTTGTGATTTTGGAGTGATCTGGGGTTGACATGGCCGCAGTTCAGAGCTCTTTTCTAGTTGTATATTTTAACAGGCTTCTCAAATGTGTGACGGTTCTGCAATTTGTAAAGAAAGTTGAACAGAGATTAGACACTTCCAAAAGTACAATCCATTTTGGGCAAAAATTGAGTTCATAAGCTTCCTGAATTAAAGATAGCAGTTGTTGCAGGGTTCATTGAAGAAAATGACACGACAGAGACAATTTATGCATCAATACAGGCAGATAGAGCTTCGGAGTAATTCTTTTATAGCTAAGCTTATGCTATTAACTATCCATGATGGTGGTGTTTTGCAACGTTTGACATCATACATAAACTTTTGGTGAGACAAACATCACCTGATTTGCTGCATAAGCCCTTTTAGGAGTTGTATCAGAGTGCTCCAACCCAAGGTACTGCTCCCAAGCGCCATAAACATCTCTTCTCTGGAGGAATTAAAATTAAAATTAAAAAAAATTAACTAGGAAATGAAGAGAAGTTTTTGAAAAAATAAACAACGGTAATCTGAAGAAAAGAACTAAACAAAAAAAATAGAAAGTATAGATGATATGCACCTGAAAACGGCTGGATACTATGTCAGAGTCTTGCAGATACTCTGGACGCCCCAATGACAAAAATGCAAACTTCCACTAATTCACGACAATTAAGTTCATTAAAGAAGGGAACAGATTAAGGGTTCGATGTCAACTTCATCGGTTCAACAATGAATGGCAACAATGCAATATAAACAATTAAAAAATTAATGCCATCTCAATGTTTTCAGGAGCTCCCAAACATTGCAAGGGTGAAACTACCTTAGAGAACTCTTCATCAGGAATCTGCAATTTCTTTTGAATGCGCACCTTAACTTCTGACAAAGTTTCGCCTTCATGGATAACCAAAAAGAAGGGCTCCCCAAAATTCTGGACTTGCTGTGGAAGGAAATATCGTTGAAAATTATTATTATTTTTTTTTGAAAATTATTTCAATAGCAACTAATGGTTTATAGTTTTGTTAAAAATGCCAAATAGACTTTCTGCCCAGGTTTAAATACCATTTGATTCTGGGCAGTCTCTTTCGTAAAATGATAAACATGAATCAACCGATCATGCTGACCAAGGTTCTTCTCTTCTTCTGGAATCTGAAATAAGGAAAACAAAGTAAAGAACATGTCAAAATACTGATAATGGGTCTTGCATAAACATCTCCAAATATAATAGCAAAATCCTATTCTGTGAAGCTGGATGGCAAGCCAATCTGTCAATAGAACCAGTTCACAAATCCCCTAGAAAACAAGGACAATGATTTCTATAAAAGGGGAAAGAAACAAAGGGGGGGAAGATAAAACCTGTCTCAGATTTTCCACGAAGCTTGGTTGCTTGAAAATACACATCCCAAATTTAAATGATGATTAACGTCATAGTTTCCAAACTACTAAAAGTATTACTTGAAAATAATGCATCTTAGGCTATATAAGATTATGCACCATAAAAGTCCCTCAAACAAATTTTCAGAGACGACAGTCACCAACAATATGTCGGCAAATAAATCATAAGAATACACTTAAAACTTTTACTTCAACAAGGTATTGGCAGGAAGAGAAAAGAAACTCACCTCCTCTGCCCGCAATGTCCAGTATTGATCATTTATATTCTCAATTTTTTCACCAAGTGGAAAAATCTGCAAAGAACAATGTAAGAATTATGCATTGAAAAACAAGTGTAAAGCATACATCGCATACTGATTTGTAAGAAACCCAATGGCAACCATTTTAAAAGTGTCCAACATATGGGTGTTTAAAAAACTACTTGGGGAACTAGGTCTAGGTATCATAATGTCCTTACAAGTGTACTAAAGGGAAAAATAGACAATGAAACTCGAGAAGCCAGCCACATAAGCATCCTCGAAAAGCCTAACCAAGTGTACAAAAGATGGCCAAAAGTATGTATCTTGTATTGCAATATGTTTCACAAAAATGTTAACTAGTGCTAAATACGGTTAACTTCAATCATTGGTTTTTTACCTTATAAATCTTGTGGTAGAAAACTTCTAGCAGTCTAAGCTCTGCATCTGGATGAGACAACTCAACCTGTTTCAGGATATACCATACATCAATATATCTTATTCCAGCAATAGTAAAACAATTGCTATAGCAGCAAAAATTTTGTTATGTGCAACAATCTCAAAGCAAAAGTGATGTTTAGCTGCCAAAATCTGTTAAATCTGTTTGCATCAATCTAATCTAAGGCCTTTATTATTTTTTTTTTTTGATAAATAATTTTCACAAATGGAGGAAAGTGCTCCAAACATGAATTTTTCTCTCAATGCTCCACAAGAGCAGCAGAAATACTTAAACATTACAATTATTTTTTTCCCCTCTGATGAAATTGGGGTTTTTTTTATTTTACTCCCCCCCTTTCTTCCAGAATGGAGAATGTAGAATGGAAAAAGCAATAAAGGTTAATATTGGTTCTCATCATTCATGCTTAAACACAAATTTGTCAAGTTATAATTCTCTATGCAAGAAATAAAGTTGTATGGAAAGAGGTAGAATTTTATGACTAAAGAATGCATACTTTAGTTCAAATTTATTTAGATTGACAATGGAGAGCATGACTTATTGATGATACCCAAACTCACCTTCGTTTTCAGTTCATCAAGCACATCTCCAACAGTGCTCTGTTTAGGCAACCTTATATTGTGGATTAATACCTGAAAAAGTGCACAACAGATTATGAATTGCTACAAACTTCAACATGATTTGTTAGGCAAGGGGATGTGATAGCACTCTAGTTTCGGCCACACCTCATCTTTTGTTGGATGATGAAAAGCAACTTTCAGGGTTTTCAGACATTGCAACTCTGGCAAAGGGATGTCCAGGACTTCATAATATAGTATATCAGAGATCTGACCAAAGGAAAACAAATAAGCAGTTAAGAACAATAACAGCTTGTCCTTTCATTCATTCTCACAACCCAATGGAAAAAATATAAGAAAAAATAGCTTCCCTCCTGCTGTTCTCTGTTCGACACTAAATATTAATGAACAGAAAGTAAAAGAACCAATCATGCCTCAAGTGGGAAATAGTCGACATCAATCTACCTGATTGTAGTGGACCAGCATCTCTAACAAATTGTCAACTGATCGATATTTAATGGGGCTGGGCTTAGGTTGCTGAGAGTAGCAGTTGTGTGAAGTAAGCCTGATTTTAGATGAATCATCCAGACCAAGTTGTTGGGCCACTTTTTCCACAACATCATCATAAGTGTGCAATTTTGATCTATAAATTTGATAGGAAATAGTTATAAATATGTAAAATAACAGCACAAAAAGACTTTTTGTCTGGTAAAAGAAAAAAATACTCACAGCTCCAGACAGAAGTCCTCCTCCTTTGGTCTTTCCAGAAGTCGGAAATGAACAATCTGCAAATAGACATATCGTATGAATCAAGTCAAATCTGACATTAAGAATCAAGTAAAGCCTATGCAGAGTATAACTCAACTCAATTTAACGAAGTCCATGAATCTTTTTTTGCCATTGTGCTCTATCAAGGGTCATATTTTCTGTTAAACCCCAAATTATCATATTCTTTTTTACGCTCTAAATTAAAGTTAATTTCGATTTTACTGAATTCTTTGCATTGCCGTCAATCAGTATCACATCACTTGCCTAACTGGTTCACTAATGTTCTACTATAGATAAAGTTCAAATCATTCTCTCAATTTATTTGCTAATGGTGTTATTACTATTTTTTCTTGAACATATTAATTTCTAACTTTACCCTTTCTGATGTTACCACACATCTATCTTAGCACACTCGTTTTACCACACTCTTGCCTCTTAATTGCCAAAATACAATATTATATGGTTGTTCTTACAGCTTCCTGGTAAAACTTGATTTTCAGCTTGAGAGGTATAATAAATTGATCACACAATACAGCACATGTAGTCGTCTACTTGGTCCATCCAACATTAATTCCATGAGTAACATCATCTCCAATCACACCCTCCCAGTGTACATTTGACGTCATATATTGATAATGTTCAAATATATATGAAATAGGGACGTGTTATCCTATATCAATTTTGAAGCAGGACTGCATTGCCTATCTCTGCAGAGCATGAAATTTCCAAACCTGCGGAATGAAACAATATCCTACGCAAACTGATAATTCCACTTAAAATCCATTTCGGGAAAAACTGCAAGTGTATCTGTTTGACTTAAATCTAATCCTCATGTAGGGACAATATAAAGAGAGGAATTTGAAATTTCCATGAAGAGAGAAACCATTCTCTCAGCATATACATATTATGGAAACTACCATGAGAAATTAGCACTCCTAAATCTTGTGATGACATAAGTTTAGCAGATTGGACCTGGCGATTTTTCACATAATCAAAAAATGATGGAACATCCAGATGTCGCATTTTTTCTTCACTTTCAGGTGGAGGGCGTTTCTGGAAGCAAATAATGTCCCCATCTTCAATCTGCTAACAAAGAAATGAGAATTTTACTATCACAGTCACCCACAAGCATAGCAATAAAGTAACATATACCTGGCTAAATCGGAACGTAGTCCTCTTGTCAAGCCGTTCACACATGACACATGGCTCAAATTTAATTTCCTGAACAAATGAAGAAGAAAAACCAATGTGTAATACGAGAGGAATTATGTAGACAATGCTAACCAGACAAAATGATGATCACCTATATATTATAAATTCCATATGAAAACAAACCTCATAAAGCTCAATTTCTTCATCAGGAGCAAATCCAGCCATTTCGTTTAGTTTTGTTAGATATTCAGCTGGCTTACCAGAACTCTTCACAAAAAGCCGACCAACATATCTGGGAAAGTAACATAAATCAAAATGGCAAATGATTGTCTTACACAGAAAAGGTTAGGAGATATTGTTGAAAAGTACTAGTTACCGGAGCTCCTCTTTTTCAGGATCATAAAGCTTGAAGAAAAGAAGAATATCTTCTTTAGTTTTGTCAGGTGGAGCAATAGGACATAGATCCTAAAAGATTTTACAAAGTATAAGTAAAAATATAGGAGAAATAGAACAAGCCTCTGAAATTTTTAAAAAAAATTAGCATCAATTAAAAAAATGTAAGACCAATAAAAATAAATAAATTGAAAAATATGTATTAGATACCAGCCCTAGCTCCACTTCCAAGAATAATTTCAATTCTGCATTGTGGGCTTTATTAGAAACCTCCCTCAGCTGCCCAACCTGCAATTAAAAAAACTCTCATTAGCCATAGCGGTGCGTCCTCTAACACTCTAAAGAGTCATTCAGAGTGAAAAGGCTCAACTATAGTTTCAGCAGATATCGTGACATAAAACATAAAGCCAAAAGGTATACAAATACTGCACCAAAAAAAAGTGTAATGAAAATTGAGACAACAAATTCTAAGTAGGCAATTTAATATCAATGAAAACAATTGCCGAAAAATATCAGTGAAAGAAATCTTATAAGTTAGATTCCTTGTTGCAAACAAAGAAGACATAAGTTACAAAACAATAAAACCAATCAAAATAAAACAAATGCTCAACATAAACCGTGGTCATATTTCTAAACTAACCACAGGGCCTACTCATCAAAACCAAAAAACAAGTATTGCATGAACAAAAAACATGAAGAGGAATAAGAAGTTCTTTATATGGAAAAACTGTCTGAAAAGTCAAGCACATACAGATTGCCATGCATAATCTGTACAATAAATGTTAAACAAAAAAGGCTTTTGGTCTCTAACTTGATCTCTTATAATCAGTTAATGAACCTTCCTATGCAAGTGGTAGAAGAGTATTTTAGTACCTACCTATAAAAATAAAGGAGATATTCAAAATTATAATAATTATAGAAGAATAAAATTGACGAGTCATACGATGAAATTATGGAAATGATCATTGAACGTCGCCTAAGAGTTGAGAGTCTTGAGACTACAATGTTGGAAAATCAGTTTGGGTTTATGCCGGGTAGATCAACTATGAAGGCTATATATTTATTGAGGAGACTCACAGAAAAATATAGATAAGAAGAAAAATCTTCATATAGTATTTATATATCTAGAAAAGGCGTATGGTAAAGTACCTATAAATATAATATGGAGGGTGCTTGAGAGAAAATGAGTGACGAATAGGTATATTGAGGTGATAAATGACATGTATGGCAGGGCTATGACTACAATTAAGTCTTCCATAAGAGAAAGTAAAGAATTTTAATCACAGTGGGATTACACCGAGGATTGGCACTACGTCCATACCTATTCGCCTTAATTATGGATGAACTCACTAGATACATTCAAGATAATGTCTCAAGATGTATGCTATTTGCAAATGATATTTGTATTAGTAGATGAAACTCGAAAGGGGATTAAGAATAAGTTAAAAATTTGAAGAGAGACACTCGAGTTGAAAGGGTTTAAAATAAGGAGGAGTAAGACTGAATATATGCAATGCAATTTTAGTAATAAAAGTAGACATAGCAAAAAAGTTATGATTGAAAATCAAGAAATAAGTAAACAATTTATATATCTAAGATCGATCATTAAAAATGATGGAGAGATTGGAGATGATTTAACTCATAAAATCAACGTCCGTTGGCTTAAGTGGAGGAAATCCTCTGGCATATTATGTGATAGAAGATACCAATAAAATTGAAAGGTAAGTTTTATCGAATAGTTATAAGGACAACAATGATATAAGAGACAAAATGTTGGGCAACTAGGAAATAACTTAGTGACAAAATGAGTGTAGTGAAAATGAGAATGCTAAGGTGGATGTGTGAAAAAACTAGAAAGGATAAAATAAGAAATAATGGTATTAGAAAAATGGTAGAAGTAGCTCCAATTGAGGATAAGTTAAAAGAAAATAGATTAAAATGGTTTGATCACGTTCAACGGAGACCAATAGCAACACCAGTTCAAAAAAGTGAGATAATCTCTCTTAATGGTATTAGAAATAGAGGTAGACCTAAATTAACATTGAACATAATAATTAGAAAAGATATAAAAATATTTAACTTAAATGAGCGTATAGTGCATGATCGAAATGAATGGCGAAGACGGACTCATATAGCCGACCCCAAATGATTGGGATATAAGGCTTAATTTGGTTTGGTTTGGTTTGGTTTTGTCTCCCTCCCACAAGGTTATCAGAATCCAATTGTGTGTTTTGCTCCTCACATCTTTACAATCAAATCGTAATGTAGTGAATCACTGTATTTTACGCAATACGTTAGGCATGTTATGTATGGTTTTTAGTGTGTTCTAAAGTTAAACAATGTTTCCAAATGAGAAAGTGTCAATCCCATCCATTCTTCAATAAAGGGTTGAAGTCAGGAGGCTACTCATCATTGTTCTAACTTATTGAGGTGTCATTAATGAAGAAAGCAACTTTTCCAATTACCTAGCCCAACCAAATGCCATCATGCAATATAGAGCACAAATCATTGCACAAGCAGCTGTAAAAGCAAATTAATTACATTTTGTAACTCCTCCTGTGATGTCAATGGCCGATTGGGACGATACGTATGGTTTTGCCTCTTTGCCCATATCCAAAACCGCTGAAACTGAATTGGTATACCAAATTCTTTGGCGATTTCCTCCTGTTAACCACCCATAACAATGAGTTTAGGAATTTAAAAGGAGGTCATGTTGAGATGAAATAATTAAGACACTGAGAGTGCTACATTAAGAAACACTCATTTTGGAAAGAAAAAACGTTAAGACATACACTATAACATCTTATCAATGAAAACATAAAATAGAACTAGGTTCAAAACTCAGCAAAGTAATGTAGCAGCATCCGCCATTGCTAGACATATTTACTAACATTTACAAACTTCTACATATGCAATACAGTTAGCAATTTAAACTTTTGAAAAGCCTGCATCAACAATAAGGCTTAATTTGACTCAATGAACCACATCTCAACAGCAATTTGTGTCTTACCATCATCCTCTCCACACATTTCAAAGTCTCCAAAAAACTGTTATAATTAGCAAGACTATGTTACAATAGCCAATTCTCCAGATTCCTTGTGAATAGTCCAATAGCGAATAAACTCTCTCAGCCTTTAAATTATAAGATCATGCTGACAGAAAATAAATGCTTGCAGATACTTACGATGTAACTGAAAGAACCATGAGCGTGGCGCACCTGACATGCAAGAGGGGTTTCTATCTGGCTGTTCTTGAGAAGGGGGCAAAACAAAATGTTTTGGTTAATAGAAAAAAAGACCGTCTTGAAAATTAAAATACAACCTCTGATGGATCTAGAATGCATTCAAATGACCCTTGTTGGGTCTAGAACTTGTCTTAACTTGTTTCACATGTATCTAACAAACTTGTTTTCAACCTTGTTGCATGTGTAACAAAATTTCTAAACATCAAAGAAATTAAAAAAGAAATAAACACAAGAGGTTGATATCCAATGCTTATTTGTGTCACCACCATCCTCGAGAGCTGTCTTGGTGATAGAACTAATAGACCATTTGTACGAAAGATAGAAAAATGAAAGGAAAGAAAAACATAAAGAATGAGGTTTCCAATGAAGGAAATACCTTTTCCATCCTTTTTGTTTGGTAAGATGTATAGAAAATTGGAAGAATAAATTTCTTCTTGTTGGGTATTGGATGGAAAGTAGAGAGAAAGAAAAAGAAACATTTAATTTACTATTTTACCCTAAAATACTATTTGAATTTAATGACTTTTCCTTTATTTTTTGGGAGTGTGTGCTCATGAAATGACACTACTACTGTAGACTGCTTAAAATAATACATAAAATTGAGGTCTTCAATTGTTTTGCTGGCGTGGGCATTATCACAATGATTACTTTTAAAGGGCAGAAAAGTAAAATCAAACTTGTAGTTGTGGCTCTAGGGCCTCTGTCTTTCCACCCAATTCGGGCGAAAAACTGTTTGTTGGTAGAGATGACTCCTTTTCCCACCCACATTCCGTTCCCTCTAATTTTCCACCCAAACCAAACACAATAGGGGTGCAACTCGGGTGGGTTGAAAGGTCAACCCTATCCCAACCCTAAGTATATAATCTTCAACCCTAACCCTAACCCTACCTCAACCCGAGTACTACCCAAGTTTAATTCGGACGGGCTCGGGTTGAATTCGGGTTACTTAATTCAGGCTAATTTCGGGTTAAAAATTGGGTTGGGCTTAGGTTACTTAATTCAGGTTGATTTTTTTAAGTGTAGATTTAATTTTTTTAAATGTAGATATGATTTTTTCAAGTGATCTGAGATAAGGGGCGAGAAGCAAATGAAGAGAGTGGGAGTGAGAGAAGGAGGAATGACGAGTGAGAGAAGGAGGCAGAGAAGCTAAAAGTCTGAGACAACTCAAACGAGTGACGAGTGAGAGAGGAATCTAAGAGTGATGGAGGCGCAGGAGTGAAGAAGGCTTGAAGTGAAATGAAAGTCTAAACTCTAAAGAGTGAAGATAATTACTAACCCTAGTTAAATATATTTATATATTTATGTATATTCGGGTTCAACCCGAGACTTGCCGAAATTCAATTCAGGTTGGAATTTTTTTGCCCAGGCCCAACCCAAGTATTAAAAATTCTAACCCAAGCCCTGTTTTTTTTGGTTGGGCTTGGGTTGAATTCGGGTTGGCCCGCCCAAGTTGCACCCCTAAAACACATGAAAATTATTCCTTTCATCCTATTTTCCTCCCCTTCCTTTCCGTCCACCCTATTTTTCATCACACGAAACAGCCTATAAAGTTTGTATCCCAATTGCTAGAATGGCAAAGAAAACCAATACATGAGAATAAAAACAACATATCCAAATTCTCACAATTATGCTGCCAATGTCTTAGAATTTGGCTAACATTTGCACCCACCAAACTAAAATGGCAGCTATTGTGACTAGAAGCCATAATTAAGATCAACAAAAACACCACGTTGTACAAGTATGAACCTTATTAGATCATATAAAACATGAGCAAGCAAGAGTACCTTGAAAAGGTTAAAAGGCATCTGTTTCTGAATTCGGAAACTCCGAACTTTGTCATGGTCAACAAGATCAAAATATATGTCCTTCCCAATTTGGTATGCTAGATCTTCATCGCGGGCAACCTAAATGTGTCAGAAAATTTCTTCAATAATGAGTTTCCAGAGAGGCAGAACAAAGATCACTCCCACAATCAATAATAAAAAGTCATCAGTTTGAAACTATAACCTTGATGATTGTATAAAGGTGGGCCTGTGCTTTATATCTTTTCTTGTCCTCTTTCTCTTCCTGTTCTTTCTTCAGCCTTGTCTGCAATGAGATGATTTTATGAGTCTGGATCCAAACTCATGCACAAACAACAAGACAACATTACATCTATGCCAAGTTTAAGCTAAATCCAAAGTTTTACCCTCAGATGTTCTGCGATGTCTTTCTCATCCACGCCACAAATTATCTTCTCCTTGTCACTCTCACGTATATACACAAGCATGTATGCATTTGAGTACTTTGTAAATTTAAATGGAGTGTTATTGAATCCAGGATTTGTCTGGGGCAACTGTTGGACAAATGAAAAAGAAGGCAAAAAGATGACTTAACATTTAAAGACAAGAATGTAGACGATACAACTCTCTAATCAATGGTAGTGAAGACATTACCTCTTCTTCACCACCATACTGCTCTTCTAAAGCCCTCTTAACATCTTCTTTCGTAACCCGCTCATCATCAAATTTGAACCTAAAAGAGGGAAGCACAAAAGACCATAATGATGCTGGACCAAAAAGATAAATAGATAGAACTTCCGGGATCAATTAAAATGTACACACAAGCAGAGTTGATACCATCAGCAACAATAAACTTTGATCAAAATTATAATCAAATAATCAAAATATGAATCGTTCAAAGTAGAAAAACCAATTTACTAATTCTAAAATTTAAGCAAGAATACTAATTCAATTTTTTTTGTTTGCTAATTAATATTAATACCAGTTCTTGAAAAAATTTACAGAATGAAACAAAGTGCAATCTGACAGGCAGAATGTAACGGGATGCCATACAACACTCACGATATAAAGTCTGGTAGCACAGAGAGCCATTCAGATCATTTAGAAACCACAAGACAGCAAGTCAATGTTTTTTTCACACAAAGAACCTTGCACCAACGCATACACATGTACTGCATCTATAAATGTACTGCAACTGCACGTGTTTCTTTTGTCAACTCGCATAAGTTCTTTGACATGCAAGAGTAGAGGCACTACTAAATCCGCATTGAATGAGGTATATAATATGCTGTGGCCCTTAGTCTCGCTATTCTGTTTCACTTTGGTGTTTTTATTTTCTGTTCTTTGCATTCAGAAGGCTTTTTCCACTTTCATTTTTCATACCCAAACATTATCCAATTTCATTCTGCTTCGTCATCTTCATCATTCCAGACAAAATTTGATGAGAACCATAGAAAGAGACTTCTGGAATACTAAATTCAGTATTATCCAGGCCAGAATACCCAAGGTACATAAATGTACACAATTTCAGGCTTTAAAACAAACTTCAGCCTATTAAAGTAATCACATCATACGTTTGAACTTAGTCCTCCATCATAAAGCGAAATCAACGCAAAGGGCATCTTCTGTTTATTTCTTTAAAGGACAATTGATAGCAAAGTATAACAAAAGACAAGATGATGTAATTCATCATATGTAAATGGAAATGTAAGGACAGGCTTGCGGATATTCTCCAGCACACTGCAGGGGCACAACCATACAAACACAAACAAAACAAATAGAGAGAGAGATAGAGAGGGTGGAGAGTCTGCTAGGCATACGACGCATACCACTGATCAGATAACGTCGGCCGGATAAACGCATAATAATGACCACCATGCACTCCACCGCTATGTACTAAAACACTATTCAACAAAAGAAGAGAAAACAGTGACAATATGTTCATACTAAAAACTATATAGAGTGAAAACATAATCACAAAGAAATATTATCACTTGTGCATCCCAAAAAAATAATTTGCAGAACTTTTTCATTGACTATTCAATTTCCTCTTTCTTATCTTGCTTGTTTTATCTTTGCTTTTTGGCGTTTCATTTGGGGGGAGGGGGTTACAGCATAGGTTGAAGGACGTTCAATTGTTGCTTTCTTGACTACAGTGTCATGAGGTAGAGTCATGCATAGAGTGTTTGCCTAGTAAACAAATTATTAAAAATAATCAAATGCAAACTCATCCCCAGTCACATTTGTTGAAGCATAAGAGTTCAAATGAAGAAAAGAAATTATATAGTGAAAGCATTTGTAGCCATAAACAAGCATGCATCTATATATTATGACAAACAGCTATAGATGCAAAAGTTTTAAAATGGTCAAGAAAGCTAAACAAACAAGAAAAGAAATTGCCAGCAATGCTAGGGGTGTCAATCGATTCATGTTGTGTCATGATTCAAGTTCATGTCATCCTATTGTCATGTCATTTTCATTTGTGCTCATGACATTTCCATGTATCCAGGAACCAAAAACTTTAATACCATGACTCCATTTTGTCCCAACCTTATCCTCCACAGATATATTCCCATAGATTAAAATCTATTTTGATCCACTCCTAAACAAATCAAATCAAAAACCATTTAATTCATCAAATTCATATAACCCTAGATCAACTTAAAACATCAATCATTTTTTCTTACAATACCATTTAACCGGGTCTTTCATCTTGAAATCAGGTTATTGTTGTTTGACACTAACTGAACTGTTTCTTATCCGTATTAACTGGTTGTGTTCATTTTGACTTCTTATCATGACTGGTTCGTGTCGGATTTAACGTTTCATGTTGGGAATTGACATCCTAAGTGTTAAGTTTATAGGATTAACATAATATTAAAGACAAAGAAAGAGGTTAAAAACTTAATCTAACTCTCATACATCACTTGTATTTATAGTTAACCTATAATAATAAAAATTACATATACACCCTCTTACTATTAACAATTTATACATACTACCCTACTATTCTTAACACTCTCCCTCAAGCTGGACTATATACATCATATAATCCAAGCTTGGAACAAATAGTTGTAAGACGTGTACGACTCAATGCTTTGGTAAACATATCTGCAAGCTGATCTTTAGATTTCACAAATGGAGTTGTAATCTCTCCAGCTACTATCTTGTCCCGAATAAAGTGACAATCAACCTCAATATGCTTGGTTCTCTCGTGAAACACAAGATTGGCAGCGATATGGATAACTGTCTGGTTGTCACAGAACAACTGTAAAGGAAGTTGAACTGAAAACCCAATTTCATGGAGGAAGCGTAGTAGCCAACTCAACTCACTCGTCGTATGTGTCATTGTCCTATACTCAGCCTCAGCACTGAATCTTGCTACCACGGGTTGTTTCTTACTTTTCCATGAGATAACATTCCCTCCTAAAAAAATACAATAATCAGTGGTTGATCTCCGATCAGAAGGAGAGTCAGCCCAATCAGCATCTAAGAAACCTTCTACTCTAAGATGTCCATTAGCTTGATATAACAGTCCAAGTCCAGGAGCTCGTTTGAGATATCGCAGAATACGAGTAACTGCCTCCCAATGTGGTACTCTAAGACATCCCATGAACTGACTTACTATACTAACTGCATAGAAAATATCCGCTCGAATAATAATGAGATAATTATGCTTCCCAACCGATCTATAATACTGACCTAGATTCTCAAATAATGCACCATCATCCATCAATAATTTCTGATTCGAATCCATAGGAACATCAATCGGTCTACCACCCAGCAAACCAGCTTCCTCAAGCATGTCAAGTACATATTGCCTCTGAGATAAACAAATACACTATTTAGATCGAGTCACCTCAATACCCACGAAATACTTGAGTTTTTTCAAATTTTTAGTATGAAATCGATCCTGTAAGAATATTTTTAACTTGGCAATCCCCTCAGAATTATTTCCAGTAATCACAATATCATCTACATAGACCACCAATAGGACATATCCAACATCTGTCTGTCTATGAAACACAGAATGATTTGTCTGACATCAAAGAAGACCAAACTCTAAAATTGCATCTGAAAACTTATCAAACCATGCCCTCGGTGACTACTTCAAACCATACAAAGATTTCTTTAACCGACATACACTCTTACTATACTCCCCCTAAGCAGTAAACTCTAGCAGCTGCTCTATGTATACCTCTTCAACCAAGTCACCATGTAAAAAGGCATTCTTGACATCTAACTGAAACAAGGGTCAATCAAGATTAGCAGCCAAAGAAATCAAGATACGAACAGAGAAAATTTTGATAACAGAAGAAAAAGTCTCCTCATAATCAACACGATAAGTCTGAGTAAAGTCCTTTGCAACAAGCCGGCCTTTAAGACGCTCTACAGAACCATCCGGATGAAATTTAACAGTATACACCCAACGACAGCCAACAGTTCGTTTACAAGAAGGTAAAGGAACGAGATTCTAAGTCTCATTATGATGTAAAGCATCCATCTCCACCTCCATAGCTTTCCTCCAACCCGGATTAGATAATGCATCCTATAAATGCTTAGGAATGGATATAGCAGATAATTGAGAAGTAAAACAGGAAAACAAAAGGCAAGGCATCATATGAAACAAAATGAGAAATGGGATGATTAGTAAAACATGAACGAGTACCTTTGCAAAGAGCAATAGATAAAGAATCTAAATTACCTTATGTACCAGGATCAGAAGGCGACAAGAAAGACGGTACAGGCACCTCAGTCGATAGGCGAGGACGGCGAGAGTAAACACGGAGAGGTAAAGTAGATAGTAACACAGTGGGCAACAGAATATCTAAATATGAGGAAAGAGATGGTGATACAGAAGAGGATCCAAAGTCCAGATCCACAGGCTGAGAAGGTGCTAGAAAGTATGAAACAGATTCTTCAAACGTGACGTCGGCACTAGTAAAATATAAGTGCAGAGAAGGACTGTAGCAACAGTACCTCTTCTGCGTGTGAGAATAACCAAGAAATACACATTTGGTAGCTCCAGGGTCAAGTTTGTCAAACCCAGGACCCAAATTGTGAACATAACAGACACAACCAAAAGCCTTAAGAGTCAAGGAAAATATGGACTTACTAAGAAAAATGACAGAATATAGACTTTGTTCATTTAACACAGAGGATGACATACGATTAATAAGATAACAAACAGTAAGAACAACATCACTCTAATAATATCGAGGAATATTCATCTGGAATAACAGGGCACGGGTGACATCCAACAAATGACGGTTCTTGCGTTCAGCAACACCATTTTGTGGAGAGGTGTAAGCACAAGAGGTCTGATAAATAATGTCAGTTTTACTAAGATAAGCTGAAAAATGATCAGATTCATATTCTCGAGCATTATCGAAACGTAAAGTACATATACGACAATCAAAATAAGTTTTTATTTCATTACGAAAAGTCGCAAATATGAAGAATAATTCAGACCGAGCTTTCATAAAAAATAACCAAGTCACACGATAATAGTCATCCACAAATATAACAAAATAAAATATTTATTAGATGAAATATTCTTGATTGAACCTCATACATCAGAATGGACTAATTCAAATGGACTAGACACACGATTATTGACTCTAGACTGAAATGACATACGGTGATACTTACTAAGTTGACAGGCTTTACAAGGCAAAGACGACACATAACTAAGACTGGAAACTTGGCGCTTCAGATTCTGGAGAAAGAGATGTTCAAGACGACAATGGCATTGAAAAGGAGACAACGAAGTCTGTACTGTTCGGGTAAGTGAATCAAAGTCGAAGTAATATAAGCCACCAACTTCATGTCCCGTATTAATCTTCCTCTTCGTCTTGAGATCCTGAAAGACACAATAAAGGGATAAAAAGTTACAGAACAATTGAGAGAACGGATTATCTTGCTAATGGAAAGTAAATAAAAAGAAACTGAAGAACAAATAACACGGAAGATAAGGACACGTCAAGACTCAAGTGAGTAATTCCCAGACCTGAAACTTGAGAACAAGTACCATTAGCAAGAGTAACACTACGTGTGAAAGTAACAGACTGATAAGTAAAAAAAACATCAAACGCACCAGTCATATGGTCAGAGGTGCCAAAGTCTACGATCCAAGGACTGCGAATGGAGGATAATAAACAGGTGGAAAAGCAGTACCTGACTGGGCAAAAGTAACGGTGGAGGGAGATGGAACAACCTGTTACTAGGAAAGGAATTGAGCATACTCTTCTCGTATAATAGTAACCGACCCAGTATCTGGTGGAGCTGACAGAGGTATGGAAGCCGCAACAGAGGTGTCATCCTGATAAGAAACCTAATTCGCCGTACTAGAAGGTTTTTCATGTAAATCCCAACAAAAATCAACAGTATACCCTCCACGACCACAGTGAGTACAAGAACGTGGTCCACTACGACTCCCATGACCACCCGCACGACCACCTCGATGACCATCAATATGGCTACTAGGAACCACAAGAACTGAGCGATCAGTGAAAACACCATGATTGATACCTGAAGTAGACAAAGTAGCACGTTGTATGCAAGAGAAAACCTCAAATAGTGAGGAAAAAGTAGAGCCACCCAAAATCTGAGAACGAATACCCTCATATTCAGGTTTCAAACCTACCAAAAACCTAATAACATTCATGTCCTCATGTTGTTTCTGCCAAACTGCTGCATCAGTAGTAAATGGATGGTAGGTCTTCATCTCCTCACAGACTCCCCGAATGTGAGAGTAATAATTCTCAATACTCAAAGTACTCTATTCTAGTCGAAAATACTCTTTGCATACCTCATAAGCTCGGGTAAAATTGTCTATACCAGAATACATAGTGGCTAAGTGATCCCATATCTCCTTAGCAATGTCAAGGTAGAGCAGAGTAAAACTAATACTAGACTCAATGTTATTCAATAGTAAAGAAATAA